TTTTAGGAATCACTCGCTTCCGAACGACTGCCTACCAGCCACAAGCAAATGGGTTGGTAGAACGCTTTCACCGACAACTAAAAGCTTCTCTATCAGCTGCAAACGTTTCACAGTGAACCGACGCTCTTCCACTTGTCTTACTAGGTATCTGCAATGCAGTGAAAGCTGACATTGGATACGCTGCGTCTCAACTCGTTTATGGAACGACACTTCGACTTCCAGGAGAATTCGTGGATCCTTCGTCCTCTTCAATGAACATGGATCTAACCTCCTACACGAACAGGCTTACAAACGCAATGCGTTCAGTTAAACCTGCTTCCACTCGACCTCAATCAACCGATGTTTTCGTTCAACCTGACTTACGATATAGTACACACGTTTTCGTTCGTCGAGACTCGCATCGACGATGTTAGTGATAAAACATCATGATGTATCCATCTTAAACTTCTGGGGTAATTCTTTTAACTCAGCTGACCGAATGTATTAAACTCTTTGGAGACGGATTAAGAGTTATATGATAACGACGCATCGCACCACTGATAACTAAAAGTATCCGAATTAATGTACTAAACATTTTTGAAATAGTGCTTTTTTGGCCCTATATATGATGAAGTTTGATCTCATGAATGATTATTGTTATCATTATTATACTTCATGGATACCCTCGTATATAATCATCGACTTAACTCGCATTAGTGAATAACAAAAGTTTAAACGCGTATATTTCGTGCAAACTTTGATTTGAACAGACAACCAGAGATTGCAGAGAAGGAAACGAATCGAGAGAATAGCGGAACTGAATGACACAAAAGTGAGTGAGCTAACTCGATTTACTTTAGTTTTAATTGAACAAAAATAAATTACAAACATATGATAAATAGGATAAGAAGTGCGCACACACTCACATGAAAACAGTCAAGGCTGATAAGCGAATGAGTGACAGTGTAAAAATATGGCTCGAGAAGAATGAAGAGAATTATCTGTCCAGAGGGCTGCTATTAAACGCAACTCAATTTAGTAAATGTGGCCTTCAGCTTGTCAGCCAGTCAGAATGAGGCGGGAATTATTATATCCGCCATCTTTGTTAGCAACGGAGGTCGACTTTCTTCGTTCTGGGCTTTTTCAGCTACTTGTTTTGTGTAGCTACAGAATTTAACGTTTCACTGTGCTAAAATGCGGAAGTTAATGTAATACTCTGAATGTTGGAGCAAAATTTTTCCTAATTTTGCTTTGTTTTCTGGGTTTTGGCTGCTGCTACTGGAGTCAATGCATTTCTTCAGCCGAGCTGGCTAGCCTTATCGGTTTTGTTTCGACTTGTTTTCTAGGTATCTAAAGCCGAAGCTCGTTTTTTCGCTAAAATAATTGTTACTGCCGTCTGTGACTCTAACTGTCTGCATGTTCGTTCCTAACTGTCCTTTATGACGTTATCAGCAAAATGAAAGGAAACAATCTCTGGTTTTCAATTTTCTTCAGTATTATGGACAACACTATCCCACCGAGTCAAACTAATGTACAGTACCCAGTACTAGGGGATATCAGTATTGATTTCGAAAGGACCCAGACTTCCGACAACCGTAGATGAAGTCACAGATCCTACCAATCTATTGCAGAGGGTTTGTTATGAAAAATATGTCATATAGCAGTAATAGAGGGATTGTACTCATTATATCGTGCGTTAAATCAAGCTTAACATTGAAAAGCCGGAAACCTGCTACCAGTGTGTAGTGTATGTTTACTATTTTGGCCATAAAAGGAAGCCGAAGGGTCATGATCAGGGAGTAAAAAGGTAATTAACTGTTATTAGGCTCACTTTCTTATGGATCATATTTCACCACTCGCAAATATGTTTTTTTACGGTATGATGTCAACCGGTACCTAATATGTTCACCCTTACGATGAAAAGTACCTGCAAATTTTCACCTTCATAGTCGAATTATTTTCGGACAACTGTCTTCCAGTTTGAGTGCTTCGTACGCTCTGGGAGACTAGATTCCTACATTATTCGTAGTTCCAGTATATTTTTCTCAGTAAGTCCAAAGTAGACACTAGTCTTTCTAAATAAGCCTGTTAAGCTAATATCCGTATTCTCTATTTCAGCTAATCGATGAAGACATGTACCATGTGCATCTGCTGTATACTGCCATTTTACTCCAATTCTAACTGCTATATCTTCTGAGAAATAAATTTGCTATATGCAGCAAATACAGACTTATTTGTTTTGATGGATATAGGGTGGTTCATGGGATTTTTAGCTGGACTGTAGTAATATTCACACTAAAATGCTAAGCGAGTGCGTAGACCAATGTAAGGTACCATATAGGGTGCATTTGAGTTACTAGTGTTCCATTAGTGCGGGTAAGGGCATTGCTTGCTTGTCATATGGCATTTGAATCAACCAGCGGCCTGCTTGAATATCTGGGCTACCTGTTCCACCGATCTAGATATTTCATCAAGTTATCTGTTTTGTTGTTTGTTTTAGCACATCACTATGTCTATTGTGCGCACAACCTATTCAGGCGCGTTTATGAAAGGTTTACAGCCTTTCGCTATACGGGATACAAAAAGGTACAATCAGAGACATCATGGTTGCTGGCAATATGCATTGAAACAAATGAACAGTAATCAAATGTGGATTACCGAACTTCTAACATCTAACTGGTCATCATTCAAAATTTATCGTCACAATCGATCAAGGTATAAGAAAAGGAAACTTGTTGAAATACTTTATGCTGAGAATTCTATGTTGTACCAAAAATATAATGTTGAATAAAGCTTCTAATAATAATAGAAAAAAATAAGACGCAGGTACGGTTAGGATGTGTAACGCGTGTCCATCCATCAGCTGCCCTGACAATTCATGGTGGTTAGAATAAGTTATGAGAGGACCGGAGTCTGTAGGTTTCCCAAGAAAATGACGAAGATATGTACTAAATCACTTAAATTTACTACATATGAACTAGATGCTGAGAGGCTCATATATCACAAGTTTCTTGCAATGATTAAATAGATAAAACAAAGTAGCATTAGATTTAAAAATTTATTCAGGAACTTTCATTAAGAATCGAATATCAAACAAAGGTTTAAACGAAGTCCCCGTCTAAAAGTTGCACTGGTAACGTTAGGCTTCAATCTGTGTTGTTTTTTTCCAAACGAAAGGGTAAAAGAAGTAACTCAAAAAGTACTGGAAGTGGTTGTGAGACTAAAATGGACACCCAGCATCTTTTTTATAATCTGCTGTTCGTTGGGTCTCCCGTAAACCGTTTCATAGGGTCATAGTTCTAAGGACGAAACAGTTCGTAGGATCTGTGAAGGCTCACTCCTGTTGCATTCTAAATGAGAAAATAGTAATGAATTTAGTCAGAAATGTGGAATAGATAAATGACTAAATTACATGTTTTTTAGCAAAGAACACTCATCTTCTAAGACTGTATACTGCTCTTCTGCAGGCAAATAAAAGCTCAAACACTTAGCTATCCTGCCACCGATGTTATTGCTGGGGAAATTGTTTAATGACAGTGGTCTTAAAACATGAACAGTGTTAAACGTACTGTCTACAAATAAACACCAAACGTACTTAAAGCTATATATTACAGCAACAGCATCAACGACACGTTTTTTCCTGTTATTAATCAGACTGATTTGAATCAGTATACTCACTAAAAACAGGCAGCTCTACTTACTAAACTGATCTGTTTCGTCACAGGCTTCAAGCACTATATTTAAGTATACCATAATCCTATCGACTAATCTAAAGTATAACGGCAACCAAGAATACTAAACTAAGCAAGTGTCATAATTATTGTTCTATTTGCACAGACATGTTGCTAAACGGAGTAAAATGAACATTATTCAGCCGATAAAACCAAAACACGAAATATAGGCCATTTGAACTTACCTAATAGAAGACGAAGGATATATATATATATATATTGCTTTCCCACTGAAGACGAAAGTCAGTTGTTCATAGAAACATAGTTTACAGTACAGCAAACCCTTCTTCAGTAACATTATGCACTGACGGTCTATCTGGAAACAATAAACTATGTGATTAAACTCACTACGACTTGGGACAACATACCAGCGTGCAGTGAACGTACAGTGCAACGCAGTCAGACGTGGCGAATAAAAATTAAAAAAGAGCAAATAAAACACAATCTAGTTATTCAAAAAAATACTATTGAAATGACAAAATCTGTGTTACTTAACGCACGATGACTTACACTGGGCGATACATTAAGTTTACATGGTTGAGTTACGGATAAATTCACCGTCCAGAGGCTAATAACCTATCTGGGCTTGACATAGTATCATCCCCTACAGTGCTGTTGATTAACGTGAACCAGATGAGCAAAAAACGTACTACATTGTAATTCATAACCAACACCCAATCAAGTACAAAGGAGTCATCAGCTAGCATATAATAATCACTAAGGTTCTTATGATACCACATATCAGCTATGCAATTCAGTTTCAAACTCATTTGAGAAGACGTATTAAGATAGATCGCGATCTTTCGTGATTAGATTTTTTGGAACTTCTGTTGGTTGCAATGGTGACAATAGTTTATGTGAAGATTCAACTGGAGAAATTGCTCAGGTTATTCCATGTTCAGTCCAAAAATCGTTAAATAATGCTCTTACCCTTTATTTTTAAAAATAAGAAAGCAGTTATTATGTCTTTCTATAACCAAGAAAGCTTTTCTGATACCCATAGAAAAATCCATTGGCGTTTGAACTACGAAGTTTATGTATGCGTAAGGCCACTTACACAAGGTGCGGTCAGCTCAAAACTGTCTGGCGGCTACTTCCTATATCTGGTTTTTCATCACAGTTACTTGTGACCTACTAACTTCCAGGAAACAGTTTAAGTTATCTCTACAGGGTACTCAACAAGTTTCCGATTCCTAGTGGGGTTTTTGTGCTACATCCAACCTTTCCAGAAATATGGAATAGCTTCATAAGGATCTAGTCACTTTGATATAATTCTTTAGCAGCCAGCAAATGTCTGGGTTACCGAACCTCACACCAATAAGGTAGGTTCTCAGTTAATTGCTCCAATATCAGTTCATGTCCAGGTCGTTTTCCATTTAATTCTGTTAGTCTGACCGAAGTGTTGCGCTTTCTTACCTTGAAGTTAGTGGAACTAGCTGTAAATCTTTATTTTGTTAGACAGTGTAGCGCCTGTGCATATTTCCCCTAGAAAATCAAGTTCACTCACCTCCCATTTCCCCCCTTTAATAATGGTCAATGTCTGCTCATCATTACTAGTCAAAAATAAAGCTGTCTAACATGTAAATATTGTCATTTGTTCGATTTCCATTTGCATACTATAACGTTCTGATTGAATCATTTAGGAAGCCAAACGTCATATTTTCGAAAATTTTAAACTGAATTGTACAAAACTATGTTAGCCATAGTTTTCATACATACCTCATCTTATTGCCTCACAGTCGTATTGTTTGGGTTTGTAATCGATTTCGTCCTGAGGTTTCCATATATATATCAGGAGTGCTAGTAAACTACAAATCGTTGTGTTGACTTAAATCCACTAAAAATTCTCCGAGAGGAAGCAATCAAGGTATATTATGTATAAATTAACATCATGACACAAAATTTAATAGTAATGTTGAACAGGTCTCTGCCACTATGACTAATTCTGAGTCGTGTTACTCGATCGCAATAATTGTGCTAACCACAACTAAATAGTTCACACCTGAAATTACCTCAGCATGTAGACTTGAGTGCTGTTAGAGGTATGAGGACAGTTATCACTTCTCGACTGCCCACACTACGCAAGGGTTCTTATGGAGGTACCTGAAAAAGACATTGAATTAGGGTTAGTCTTAGTGGCCTGAAAGCGCGACTGCAGTGCCCAAAAAACAACTGCTTGAGGTCGGTCACGCACGCCCTTTTTGTGAGTAATCTTCGTGTTATCTCCGTACTTGTTGGCACCTTACCGCCGGAAACGGATATCCGTGAGATAATGCGAGGTGTTCATTTTTGGGATGACCCTTTATAACCTCGCCATTCCTTTGTGGGAATGCAGCATTGCTATTATGCTGGTTGTCTTGGGGAAACACCTTACTGCTGTCACACCTCTGTGCAGTCAGTAGTACGACTTCGCCCTCTGACCTTGGATTTGTTGCTTTTAGTCTTGTCGCTCTTTAACCGACCTGTCTGACATGGTAGACCTTGAGAAACAGTTGTTCCAGTATAGCTCGATTGGTTCATCACAATAGGCAAGCCCGACCACCACGTCAAGGTAGCAGCAACGGTCGGGAGCATTTGATAGCTCTGTGTGCGTATCTCATTCCCCAACCATTTAGTTGGCGAAAGCTTACAGCTTCCACGTAATTGCCACTGTCAAGCACGAGAAAATTGATTGTACTATCATACACCAACACTTGAAGCATCCGTGGTAAAGTTTTGGCAACCCATACAGCTTCTCCCTTTACGAGCCGGGCCCCAGCTGTAGCACGCTGCAGAGTAAATTGATGCGCAGTACATTTTCCTTTTGATAGAAAAATGGACGTCTTGTCTGAGCTAATGCTATCTCCTCTTGCCAATACTCCATAAGTATTTGAGCTTAAACGCTTAATTAACTTTACAATAAGAATTCCTACCTTGGAATACCACAATGTATGGTAAATCTTTAACGTTGACTCAAACAGTCCCACAACTAAATAGTTCACACCTGAAATTACCTCAGCATGTAGACTTGAGTGCTGTTAGAGGTATGAGGACAGTTATCACTTCTCGACTGCCCACACTACGAAAGGGTTCTTATGGAGGTACCTGAAAAAGACATTGAATTAGGGTTAGTCTTAGTGGCCTGAAAGCCGACTGCAGTGCCCAAAAAACAACTGCTTGAGGTCGGTCACGCACGCCCTTTTTGTGAGTAATCTTCGTGTTATCTCCGTACTTGTTGGCACCTTACCGCCGGAAACGGATATCCGTGAGATAATGCGAGGTGTTCATTTTTGGGATGACCCTTTATACCTCGCCATTCCTTTGTGGGAATGCAGCATTGCTATTATGCTGGTTGTCTTGGGAAACACCTTACTGCTGTCACACCTCTGTGCAGTCAGTAGTACGACTTCGCCCTCTGACCTTGGATTTGTTGCTTTTAGTCTTGTCGCTCTTTAACCGACCTGTCTGACATGGTAGACCTTGAAAACAGTTGTTCCAGTATAGCTCGATTGGTTCATCACAATAGGCAAGCCCGACCACCACGTCAAGGTAGCAGCAACGGTCGGGAGCATTTGATAGCTCTGTGTGCGTATCTCATTCCCCAACCATTTAGTTGGCGAAAGCTTACAGCTTCCACGTAATTGCCACTGTCAAGCACGAGAAAATTGATTGTACTCATACACCAACACTTGAAGCATCCGTGGTAAAGTTTTGGCAACCCATACAGCTTCTCCCTTTACGAGCCGGGCCCCAGCTGTAGCACGCTGCAGAGTAAATTGATGCGCAGTACATTTTCCTTTTGATAGAAAAATGGACGTCTTGTCTGAGCTAATGCTATCTCCTCTTGCCAATACTCCATAAGTATTTGAGCTTAAACGCTTAATTAACTTTACAATAAGAATTCCTACCTTGGAATACCACAATGTATGGTAAATCTTTAACGTTGACTCAAACAGTCCCTATCACCATGAATATACAGGTTCTTTATTCCGAATAACAAACGCTCATAAACTAGTCAACACAAACCAGAGGAAGCGTTAAATCAAAGTATCAGATCGCATCTATCGTAGTTTGACATTATTATTGTCCCACACATTGGAGGCGTGGATACAAAAATCCGTGCTTGTTAGATGAATTTCACTTTATATACTCTGTCATGTTCTCTTACAGTTGATGAGGAAAGCACTCATCTTAGAGTACTCTCATATGTTCACTCGTCTTCAGAAGAGTTGTACTTATTTCCTGTATTGCAAAAGTGTTCTCGCAAAAGGAGTGATGAAAACAAAAGTTTGCCGATTCCATCAGGTTATCAAGTATAAAAGATCCACTAAGATAAATTTGGATTCCATACGAGTGATCCATGTGTACTTCGAAGTACTGAAAGAAAAAATGGCATGTAGACCTATTTTGGTAACCTACTACCGGGACGTCACGTCTGACCTTGTCCTACTTCCTCTTGGATTAAACCTGATCAAAAGATCAGTTATGTCTATTAAAAACCACTTGCTTCTGTTTAGGTTCACAGGCAGTATCACAACCAACACAAAATTTGCCACAACACGAAAACTCCCTTTATAGACTGGTCATTTTGTCCACCCTGATTCCAAACCAATGATGCACATGGGCTCCAGTATCCTGTGGGAACAAATGGCGTATGAACCAATCGTTGCCCACTGGCTACCATGGGACTGCTTCTCCTCATGATGCTCCACTGCCTTGTGGATCAGACCTTCAGGTCGAAGGCTCGGGGTGTGGCCCCCTAAGAACACCACCTGCTTTGGTTTGGGCACCCTGGCAACAACACAGCCCTCACATATATCAAATGATATGTGTGGCGCATATGTATTTGGTGCCTCCTTGTACCAATATCCATGTGTTAAAATAAAATAAATAAAACTTAGTATACATGTGATGTATACTGTTAAAATGTTATTTCTTACTCCACTTAACACCTGATCTTTGTTAAGAGTTGTGTCCTATCCATACAGTCTTAAGTCACAAAGTAATAGATCTGTGAAACCCGTATTCATGCGCAAAATTTAATCCGGCTGTTCTAGAACCATGAGTACTTAAACTTTATACCATTGATGTTTATACTTAAATCCAAGTCATGTAATACGCAGTCCTTAATATATCTATGGAAAGTCTCGCTATTACTGTGTTGTTTCAACGAGATCCATATTCAAGATCCCAACCAAGCTCTCATCATCTCTTTTGTGTTTACATGTGAGGTTGGTGGTGTGCCAGTAGTCATTTTCCCATGGATATTTCTTCATAGTGTTGTTATTCCGTTCTCTGTAGCCTAGATTCTGACCCCGTATTGTGCTAAACATTTTTGTTTTATAGTGACAATTGGAAGTTCCCTAGTATTTCCTTACGCTTAGAAACGGATAGATCATTATGTAAAGATTCTGTGTAAAGAATCTATAGTCCACATGAAATTTCCTCATTATCTTGCTCAGAGGTGGGAATAATTCTTAAAAAATGTAATTTACTCAAATGAGTAGAGCTATAACTAATGGTCTAGATATTCGTTTGAAAATAAGTTTTGTGCAAATTAACATTTACTTCACCCTTTAAGTTTTACTTCGGCTTAGTTAGCTGTTATAATTCTAATGCAAAAGTGTACATGGATCAGCTAAAGTCCCTTTATTCTATTTAATCAACTACTCCTACATACTCAGTCAGTCAATAACAACGTAGAACTTCGTACTCAGGGTATTAGGAAATGATGGTAAATCAGTTGATGAGGTTATGAATCTTCATCGACTGAGATGGTTGGGCCACGTGTTACGTATGCCTGAATACCGATTACCACGACGTGCAATGCTATCCGGTATTGGAGATGGTTGGAAGAAAGTTAGGGGCGGCCAAACCAAAACGTGACATCAGTGCTTGAAGTCACTAACTTCTAGTCTGAGCCATGTTGGTAGATGCAGACTACTTGGTTGGGGTCCGCGTGACTTTCGTAACCAATGGTTGGAGACTCTTGGTGACATGGCTCATAATCGATCACAATGGCTTATGTGTATACACTCCCTATCTTCCCTTAAATTAAGAGATTAAAATCGCTTCATACCTATTTTTCTACGAACCAATTTTTTCTTCTTGTACTATATCTCTATATGCAATCTTTCTCTTACATATTACCATCTAGACCTAACCACTGCTATGAATCCGGTGTTCATCTTGTGTGCTGATGCGGTATGGCAACCTGGACCGATGCACATATGTGCCTGGTCCTACGTTGTAGCTGACTGACTGACTGACTTCGTACGTACGTACATCAGTTCGAGTTGCCACACCACATTAGCACAGAGATGCGGTGGTCTATTCAAATCCC